ATGTCCCACCAAGAGCGTGTCATTTCAGCAGAAGCGGAAGTCAGGTTTTTAAGACTTGGCTAGACGAAGCTGTAGCTGAGATGATCTAGCTGGGGCTGGTCCTGCTTTGAGCAGGGGTTGGACTAGATGTGACCTCCTGAGGCCCCTTCCAACCCTCATTTTCTATGATTCAGTGAAGTATGGCAGGTTGTCCTGATGCTGCTTTGGTACGTTTCAGACTTTGACTCAGCCCGGCCAGGATTATCACGTAGAATTCACCATCGAAGAGACTGACTGCATCAAAGGCCGTGACGGCATTGGGAGAAGCTGCACATTTAAGTCTCCTGAAACAGCTGTGAGTAGAAGCAACTCATGTTGTGTGTTTCAAGCACTCTGGCCATTAGTCTTCTACTTTTAAATGGAGAGATAGGCCAGTGGCTACTCACGTAATGCCAACACGGTCTACGTGGCTCAGGATGGCTGGTGCTTCATATGCTTTCTATATTTTAATTCCAGATGTTTCCGTTTCAGGAGCTCCCAACCATTTGGGAATTAACTCCTTCCCCATGCTCAGTGATTGTGTGACTTTTCTGTGTGTGGGTGGTTTCCAACACCTCACTGGACTCTCGTTACATGTCATTGTGTCCTGATGTATCAGTCCGATTTTAATAGAAACAGCATTGCTATTCCCAGCACATGTGCAAACTGTAAATTGTCTTAAAATTCCTTATGCTGGTGTGTCATTCACTGGGGTGAGACGAGGGTGGTTTGATCAGGGAAGCATTTCTTTGGTTACTTGTTATATGGGTTCACTTACTGCAATGCAATCTGTTTCTCTGGATTCTCACCCCGCTCTGCATCCTTATGGAGACATATTGCCTATTACAGATTTAGATTCTGGGATAGCAAGTAATTATCAGTCCGGGCAACCAAGACAGCTGGAAATTCAAGCTGCAGGCTTCAGTGGTAAGCTTAAGGACGAGCTGCAACCACAACAGGCATCTGCTTCCTGAGCCGCCACCCATTCTTTCTTTGATGGAGCTTTCCTGCAACCTTCAAGTTAAATGAGTAAGAGATTAAGAGACCCATGAAATATCTGCAGGGCTGATGCAAACATTTCCCAGTACGGTAACGGTTTCATGGCAACGTATATAACTCTGACCTCAAAGCAAGGCTGAAAAGGTAGCAGACTTTGGAAACTGCAGTGATATTAATGCTGAGGGGGAAAAAAAGACAAGCTAACGTGGCAGGGCTGAACCAGTTGTGGCAAGAATCAAAAGAGGGCTGGGAACCCCCAACTCGGAAAATCTGCTGTTGGTCCTAGCTGCCAAACCAAAATGTGTGTCAGAGGAAATGAAGAAAAGACAAATCAATCCCAAACCCCTCATCTCAACACAAAAACCTCAGAGAATTTTCCCATTGGGAAGAAAGGGGAGAGAAAGAGATTGCTCATGACAAAGGCTGGCTGTGCCACTTGCTGCACTTCTGGACAGGACGCAGACACTTCAGCCATGGGAACAGTTTCAGGTGCAAGAACAGAAGGGGAACAGAGTGATTCTGCAAAGTGAAGATGGTGAAAAGTCAGACTTTCCATTGCACGGAAAAGTCTGAAATTCTGCAAACCCTCATTCCGCTTTGGAACGAGATGTAGAAGTCCGTACATTCCCTCTGGATGGGAAAAGAAATGTTTTTAAATAAGCAAAATGGTCCCTGGGAGCTAAGTTGTCGGGCTTCCCCCACTTGCTATGGTTCCTAGGGGGCTCCAGGCTCCCCATCAGCCTCCGGCGGAAGCTCCCAAATCGATGGCATCGATATCTGCAGCAGAGCTCACAACCCGGGGTTCGCAGGGCTTTCAGACTCCATTCGGTTGAATCAAGGCTCACAGGACTGCAGGCTCTGGAGTCCTGAGCAAACTGATGGGAAACCAGATTAGTTCCACTGGGTATTTATCAAAGTGGAGATATTTTAAAAAAATATTTTTAATGAATCGGCATTTTCAGACAAGAACACATTTCAAAAGAAGGTTTCCATCCACTCGATTACAGACCTTCCCTGTGAGCAAGGACAAGCAGCAGAACGGTCCCTGAACAGAAGAGCCTTTAATAAAACATTCGTGGGCTTTCAAAGCCATCCCTAAAAAGGTGTTGATGGAAACTTCAAATAAAAAAAGACAGCTGTTCTGTGAGGCGGCTTTTTGTTTTTTAGGGGATTTTTTTGTTGGTTTTCTCTTTGCTTTGTGCCTATTTATTACTCTCATAGGAGGATTCCTTAAAAAACTTAAAAGAGTTTTTAACAAACTCATGTACAGCTTTCAAAATGAATCATTGGATGGTTATAAATAAGATTTGCTGAGATTTCTGTGATTTTCCCCCCCTGTTTTCATCTGCTCTGCTATGTAGCTACTAGCTAGTGTCTCAATGGTGAGGATTTTTTGTGATATCTTTTATTGGACCAACTGCCTAGCTGGGAGAGCTGTTGCACAAACTTCCAGGCATCGTGTGTCCTTCCTCAGGTCTTAAAATGTCGGAAAACATTTTCAGGCCAGAAGGAATGGGGTACAAAATACTTTCAACACTTAAAGAAGCAAACCTGTACATTTGCATTTCTGAATAGGAGACATTAAATATTGACACATTTATTTTAAGTTTTATAGATAAACATTGAAGATTAAAAATCAGATCCAAAATCGAATTAAAGTCAAAGGAAAGGCTTCTCTTAATTTCAGTTGGCTTCAAACCATGCCATACTTCTTGTTATAATATTATTATGCACTTTTATTACCTTCTTCCCTCTAAAGATCTCAATGAGCTTTGCAAAAATCACTGAATTGCCTTCATGGCCTCCCTGGGAACTAGATCATTATTGTCATACCTGTTTTACAGACAGGTAAAAAGGGGCAGAGGGATCCAGGTCAAGGAAAGCAGTGGATCAAGCTGGGTATCCAAAATCCTAGCTCTCCTCCCCCTCCCATATCAATGGCTGCTTTGGGATATTCAGCTGCACGTGACTTCCCTAAGGTAACCCAACTAATTTGGCAGGGAATGATACCCAGAGCTCCCAGCTCCAAGTCCTATGCCCAGAGGACAAGAGCAGCCTCCCTTCCCTTAAGGACTCTTTTGTTTAAAAACACACAAAGATGAAATATGTTAAAAACAACATTAGTATAGTTTTCTACTTCTGCTGTTCAGTGGTTCTCAGCCAAGGTGCCAGGGCACCTTGGGGTGCCAACACATCGTTTACAGGGTGCTGTGAGGTATGAGGAGGTAAGTGAGGTGTGAAGAGGTAAGCAAGCAGATAAGCTAAGTAGAGAAATGCAGGCTCAAACTTGTCCCTGCCTAAAGGATCCCCTACCCCAGCTTTCTAGCCCTCCCCAAGGGGTAAACGCTGTAATATCGTGGCCAAGAAGGCTAACAGCATCCTGGGCCGCATTGGTAGGAGCGTTGCCAGCAGATTGAGGGAAGTGATTCTTCCCCTCTATTCAGCACTGGGGAGGCCACATCTGGAGTCCTGTGTCCCGTTGTGGGCCCCCCCGACAAAGGATGTGGACACATTGGAGAGAGTCCAGCGGAGGGCAACAAAAATGGTTCGGGGGCTGGGGGACATGGCTAGTGAGGGGAGGCTGAGGGAACTGGGCTGATTTAGTCTGCAGAAGAGAAGACTGAGCGGGGATTTGATAGCAGCATTTAAGTCCCCACAGGGGGGTTGCAAAGAAGATGAAGCTGGACTGTTCTCAGTGGGGGCAGATGACAGAACAAGGAGCAATGGGCTCACGCTGCAGCAGGGGAAGTTTAAGTTGGATATTAGGAAAAACTTTCTTACTAGGAGGGTGGTGAACATTGCAATGGATTACCTAGAGAGGATCTCTATTCTTGGACCTTTTAAAGGCCCGGCCTGACAAAGCCCTGGCTAGAATGATCTAGTTGGGGCTGGTCCTGCTTTGAGAAGAGGGTTGAACTAGATGTGACCCCCTGAGGTCCCTTCCAGCCCTAATTTTTCTATAATTCTGTAATTCTATATTTAAATCAGCTGTTGAACCTGAGTGCCACTCAATTCACAAAAGTTATGGAGAGGTGCCTTGAGTCCAATGCGGGGTGCCTAAGAGGTACCAAAAGGTCCAAAGAGGTTGAAAACCACTGCTATAGTTCTGTAGTAAGGCTATAGCTCTTTAGTGAGCATTGGATGTATACTGCTTACCTACACATACAGCAAAATGGTATACATTTCAGATTTCCACTGTTTTGTAACTATCTAGCTGCTTCTGATATAGACCCAGGGCAGAAAAGAAGCTGCACTGAAGTCAATGGATCCACGATCTCCAGCTAAGGCACTGACCCTGTTTCCTAGGTGTCCAGAAAATTTGCCAAGCCTTCAGTCAGAAGGACTGGACTTGCCAATGCTTCTATTTTTAATTAACTTGTTAGGGCCTAGGTGTGTTCTCATGCAATGCTGTAAGGGCTGGGAAATGTTATGTAGGGAAGCAGTCACTGTTAGCAAAGACTGCTTTGCTTTTGATGGGAGGCCCCTCCAGCTAGGTGACATTTCACGCGTGTACATTTTTCCCTCCTAGCGGACAGGTTTCTGCGTTGGTGACGTCTATATAAAGGACAGCGCTGATGTTGAGGCCTCTTGCGAACTCTATGATCCAAAGGTAAGCTATTTAATCAAGTGTAAAGCTAGGGGAGATTTAATTTTGCAGTGCGGTACAGTGCCTGTCTGATTGCTCCGAAATGATGATGTAAGGCAGAAAAGTGGACCGGTTCTCTCCATGTTACCAAAACGAGATGACCTTTTAGGCATTTGAAGTGAGGCCCTCAGAGATCCTCACCCTTGATTAGGTTAGACCCAAGACTTTAAGAGCATTGATTTCTTTCATTTATTATTTTTTTAATTTGCAAGAAAGTCTTGCTTAGGAAAGGTGCCAAATTGGCAGCCCTCCCGATGGAATTCTTCCCTTGACCCCCTTCCCAGATCAGGTTCATCAGGCCAGCATTAGCACAAGCTTTTCACGCATCACTGGTTGTTATATGCATCCAACCAAAAAACCACCTTTCTATTCTGGCCTATATGAATTATTAAAAGCTAAGAGTCAGGAGAGCCTGAGCTGTTGAACACAGAATCAATACTATATTTCATATCACAGGAGCTGCACGCCCACTTACTCCCTGGCTTATTTTATTTCTTATCGTTCTGAAGTTCCATCAAGTCTCTCACGCAACATAATTTCATCTGGGGTCCGAACCAACACGACTGGAGTGCAAGGGAGCTTGGCTAGTGACTTCAGTGGGACTGGGACATAGCCCTTTGTCTGTGGGCTTAATAGAGATCAGCTCATTCTCTTGATCTGCAATGACTACTTGGGCGGTTATCCACGTTGCACTTTTCCCGTGTCCACTTTTCCTGTGACCACTGCTAAGGGCCTAGTTTCTACTGGGCATTGAGGAGCCAGATGAGATCTTCCTTGGACTGAACTTCTCAGTGGCCGCGTCTACACAAGCTGTTTATTCCACGGTAGCTCGTTACTACCGCGCGGGAGTGTCACCAGACATGAACCGGGATGTGATGCTACTGCGCAGCAGTAACGAGCTACTGCACAGTAAGCATCACTAGGCAACCATGTCAGGACGGGGTTATTTAGTTATTTAGTTATTTAGTCATTTAGTACTTGGTTATGCAAATACTAAATGACTGTGCAGCAACAACTGCACATTGGGCATGCCCAGTGAGTGAGAAATTATCTCAGCTTTTAGTGGCCTCTGAACTAAGACTGCTGACTTTGGTCTTGAGATTTCAATAGAAACACCACCTCCCCACAAACCTCCCCACCCCTACAGAAAGCACCAGCTGCGAATGCGGTGCCCTGAAATGCTGCCCTGCATTAACCACTTGGCTAACTTTTTGAGTCTTGCTCCTCTGCTCCCCCAGCCCAGAAAGTTCACATGGCTCCTGAAGCGAGGTAGGCCCGGGTCACTCAACAGCAAGCCCTCCAAGGCATGGAGGAGCAGTACCGGGGAGCGCCAACGCTGCCCTTGCCCTCCTGCTTGCTCAGTGGGGTGATGAATGTGATTAGGGAAGGAGCACGAGTGGAAGCGGGTAATACATCTTGAGCGGTTTTAACCGGTGTCCATTAAAAATGGATTCTGGGGTGGAAAATGGACTCTGCACCTCAATGAACTAATCTCTGTAGTTTGCTCAAAGATACCCAAATTGTAACTGCAAAAGTTTTAGAAATCCTTTAGTATGCCATGAGTCTGATATGGAACAGAGGTGACCGGACCAATTCAGTGTGGCCTGAAGAAAATTTATAACTAATGGGCCAGGTTCTCAGCTGGTGTAATTAGACAGGTTGTACCAAAGTCCCTACCCCAGTTTACCCCTTGAGGATCTAGCCTGGTGACTCAAATCTAAGGACAAACAAATGCAAGTAAGCTAAACAGGGGGTTGCTCTGAGATAATTGTCTACTTGCCTTGCTTTTACCTCTTGGTAAGTGAAAACTAAACTGCAGCAATTTAACACAATTTCATTGCGGGCTAAACTGCCCCCGGTTAGATTTCCCTTATTTTTATTCCATTATTCACCAAGAGCGGACACACAGACATTTCCTACAGCGCTGCTGATGAATGATACATCCCCACTCCCTTTTAACTCGCTATTAATTTGTTCACTTCTCCATATCCTAACTCAGCCAAACAGGAAATAGTGGAAGGAACCACTAGTTGTACAGACTAGAAATTCATAGAATCACACAATCATAGAAAATTAGGGCTGGAAAAGACCTCAGGAGATCATCTAATCCAGTGGTTCTCAACTTTTTTTGTACCAGGACCCATTTGTAAACATTAATGGCCAGTCCCGACCCAGTGCTCCTCACTCCCAACCCGCTGCCCCCTGCCCAAGCCCCAGCCCCGCAGCGTGTGGGGCAGGGGGTAGATGTGCGGGGCATCGGGTGGGTGGGTGGGGCAGGCTTGCAGGCTGAAACTCTGCCAGCCTGCAAGGGAAGACCTACGGTTTCCCATGCTTTTCTCCTTTAAAGGAGAATCTATTTTTTAATTTTGTTCGCAACCCGTTCATATATTCTTGCAACCCACTCGGGTTGAGAAACGCTGATCTAGTTCAACCTCTTGCTCAAAGCAGGACCGTCCCCAACTAGATCATCCCAGCCAAACTATTTTTTTTTTGAGCTGCAGTTTAAAAATTAAATATGCTGTACTTTGCATATATTTGCTAGGGTCCAAATGATGCTCCCCAGGGTAATGCCAGTGGTGGCTCTTTGGATGCCGAACCAGATCCTACATGTGCTCCTGGCAGACCAGAGCAGACCACACAAACTCAGAAGCCAACTGGTGATCACCGACTGAATGTCAAGCCACATCGTCGCCCAGTGTTTGGGCGAAGGGAATCATCCTCAGAATCGGAGTCCTCCGAGGAGAGAAGAATAACCTTTGTTCACACAAGAGTTTCCAGAAAACATCCTCAGCGCACCAGCCCTGCTCTCCAGCCTTCGCCGCATCCAACGAGCAATTCCAAGGTACCATCCGCAGCCTTTTTAGAGTCCTTTCCTGAGTTCCCGCCTCATCAGCCAACCTGTCCAGGTAGAGCCATTCACATCACCTTATAGGAAATGGCAACACTAACAGATGCCCCAGTACAAGTCTAATTGAGCCCACCTTTAACAGTGTATAAATAAACTGTGCTGATTTATGTGTCTGTATATTTGAGTGCTGGCTTGACACTGGAGTCCTCTCCATCTGCACACAGCAGGGACAGCTGTTCCCAGTGGCCCTAGCTCCAGGTATATCACAACTGCCAAACGTGTTGACATGGGCCTTTTCCATTCATCTTGCAGCATTTATTAGACTCGTATATCACCCGGTTTGTGAATGTGCATGCTGCAGCCCTTCCAGTCTGCTGCAAGTTCTCTTTGTAAATGGCAATAAACTGGTTAATTCCTTGAATTGCATGAAATCAGTGTATGGCACTCAGCAAACCGAACAGGGCTCTGCCATCTCTAGAGTGCTTGCACAGCATTTCAAGTCCCTCTTGATAATATTTAATACCGTTGACAGCTAATCAACCATCCATCTTCCTGGGGCTGCATTTCTGGGTCTGTGCTTCCTTTCATGACCTGGAAAAGCTGAGTAGCTGTTGGATACCCTGCCAGAGCGTACTGGTGGGCACGGCTCTGTGAGAAAGCCCAGAAGACTTTCTCCAAGTTGTGCAGCTCCACTTCTCTGTGCTCATAGGCAGCTGTCACTTCCCTGGTTTATACCAGGTTCTAGAGAGGCAACACGGTCTGGTGTCTGGAGACGTGACAGAGAGCCAGGAGCTCTTCTGAGTTTTAATCCTGGTTCAACCCTTTGTGGCTCTGGGAGAGATTTTTCCTTTCTCACATAGATTCACAGCCAGGGCCGATGCAAGGATTTCTCCTGCCCTATGCAAACAAGATTTTGCTGCCCTCTCCTCTGTTCCAGGAGGAGCTGACATCAGGCAGCCCCTTAAATAGCAGCTGCAGCTGGCTCTGCCCCAGCGTTTCCTGAGATGGGAGATTGCTGGAGCTTGGAGCCAGGCAACTGGAGCCCCCACACTTACATCTGCCAGCAGATTATTGGGGAGGAGGATGCCAGGGATAGCAGCCACAAAGTCAGAGCTGCAGGCAGCTGCTGTGGGCAGGGGCAACGTGCAGAGACCCCTGGGTTCTCCCCGGCTCGGTTCTCCCCGCCTAGAAGTGGGACGTGCAGGGACAACTGCTGCCACGTACCTGGTGCCTCAGGATGTCGGGCATGGCCCTGCACTGCCATGCCCCAACCAGCCATAGCCCTGACTGCAGCAGCACCACCCCAGGAGCCTGCGTGGAGTCTCCCATGCACTGGCAGTGGGGCAGCACCATACCCCATTCCCCAGCCCCATGGAGCCATAGCAATAGGGCTGGGCCAAGGACCATCTTCCAGGCTCATGCAGAGGTTCCTGTTCCTCTTCACGCTGTCCCTGCCCAGCACCCAACTGTGCTACAGCCTGCTCTGCTGCTGTGGCAGTGTCATGTCAAGCCCGGCCTCCGTTGAACCCACGCACTGCCTGCCCTCCCAGAGCGCCAGCACCGAGAACACGGTTTTTGCCACCCCTAGAATTTGCTGCTCTAGGCAGCCGCTTGTGCTGCCTGTATAGTTATGCTAGCCCTGTTCTCAGCAGATGTAACTCAGCAAAAGCTCCTTTTTTTACTTCAGTGGAGCTAAACCAGTATACACCCCCTGAAGATCTCACCTTTGCTTCCTCCTCTATCACATGGAGAGGGCAATATTTTTCTGTCTAACAGGTGCTGTGAGAATCCATCCAGTCATTTGTGGGTTAGCCCAGGATGGGCACCTACATGTATGTTTTACAAGCTGAAGCAATAAATGCATTTACTATTATACATATATAACTATTTATGTGATACTGGGAGTGTCTACACGAGAAGCTTAATGCACTGGATTGACTGACCGCGCATTACAGCGTCACAACAAAAACCGTGCTATTAGGCTAATGTGCAGTAGCATTAGTCTACTGCGCATTAACTGCCACCAAAAAAGCGTGTGATTGCACTAATGCACAGCAGGGCAGCCTACTGTGCATTTATTTAGTACTTCCTTTTGCAAGTACTAAATTTAATGCACGGTAGGCACTGCATATTAATGAACGTGTAGATCTACCCACTGTCACCTGAGACAGCAGGGGACTAGACGCAATGAGCAGCAAAGTGCTTTATATGTTCCTGTAGCATTATGAGTACTTCCCAGCCTCCCTAAAATTGAGGGAAATGCCTTTCTACCTGTTGCATAGAGGGGGACCCGAGGCATGAAGAGACTAAGGGAGCGTCTACACTACAAGCATTCCTGTGACTGCAGAGATGCCTGAGCTAGCCTGGGCATAGATAGAAGTCAAGTCATAGCAGTATAGAGCTTGGCATAGGCTAATTTACCTGCTTTTCAGTCAGGTTTTGCAGCCTGCAGTGAACTCCATGATGACACAGCCAGATTGTTACCAGTACCCAATCTAGCTGATTCTTGGAAATTGGAGAGCTAAAATACACACAAAACACAGCAGTAGAAAACTCTCCACACAGAAACTGCCTGGCTAAACAACCCTAAATGCCCCTCTCCCCACTTCTGCAAACATTAGCCTCTGTCTACAAATTTCCCATCTATGCAGCCTCTCACAAATACCTACTCAAATACATGGGTTTTATAGTCTGCAGTGAAAGGGCGCTTGTACACATGACAGGTGTTTAAATTGAATTGGTCGTTTTTTAATTGCAATGAGTAAAATCCCACCATTTCACTTTAGGGGCTTCCATCACTGTTACAGTGAGGGACCTGATCCCTTTTTCTTTATTTTTTTCAGAGCCTGCCCACGTCTCCTACAGCCAGGGGCCAAGCTGCTGGTGGGCCCAGTGGCCCTTGATCTGCAGGGGCCCCTGGTCCTTCCTTCTCCGGCAGCAGTGCCCCCTGGGGCTGCCTGGGTGGGCTGCTAACGGGCTAGATGCTGCCCCAGCTCGGGCTTGGGGAAGAGTTGGATTGGGCTGGGTGCTGCCTCTGAGCTGGGGCAGCACCTGCTGGCTAGCTGCCCACCCAGGCGGCTCCAGGAGGCCCTGCCCCACCCAGGCCTCCCATAGCTCAGGGCCCACCAGCAGCTCGTCCAGGTGGGCAGCTAGCTGGCAGGTGCTGCTCCAGCTCAGAGGCAACACAGTACTCTCAGGCCTGATAGCATCAGAACAGGCCACCACTGTGGTATAAACAAGCCCGGAAGGTTTTACTGGCCCAAATCAGCACCTAAAAGTTAACCTTCAAAGGACTGACTAGGGCTGATGCTCTGTACAGTGCCACAGATATGCTGTGACCCTTCTGCAAATATTTTCTCATTTGCCTGCATAAATATGTTTGCGCTCTGTCTCGAAGTTCACTGCATTCTGCTCAGTACATTGCTGCACGGATGGAGCAATGGGCATTGCAAAATATAGGATGAGTTGCATTCTGCATGTTAAGGAGGGAACTGTTTAAGTGCCACCACCATACACCAAGGACTGTCAGGGTCTGCAGTGATGGTAAGTTGGAAGGCCCGTTATGTTCATACCAGCCTCCGTAGCATAGTCATTTTCCCATCTAAAGTAGGACCTATGTCACCAGCATCTCCATTTGCTCTCCTCACACTCACACAGGTGAACAAGGAAGAACCACTTTTTATAGATGGTCCTGATGTGTGGTTATGAGGAGATTGGGTTCATCCTTGGAAGTGGTTTGGAGACTTATCCATACCATGCTGGATCAATCTCCACATGCCAGGGCATGAAGGTGTAAGTGCTGTGAATGTGTCTATTGAGCATGGATAATGCGTAGCCAGTCCAGATATCTCCAGGGACCCAGAGGATGTCCTTGGGCTCTGAGCCTGCACTGATGTCCATACTGTTGCCTCTTCCCTGATGATGTCACCCCAACTAGCTAGATTACAGCTAGCACAGGCTCGCTACCCACATTGCAATCACGCTTCCATTTGGCAGTGTAGGCACACCACAGATACAGATGCTAACATCTACTTTTTGATGGTGGGCAGGCAGTGGGATTGTTACTGTATTCACTCTGGTGACTCTCCTGTTCTGGGCCTGTCTTTACATTTCTCCGGTGCTCTTCAAACTGGACTTTGCTGTGTCTCTAGTGACCCGTGTACCACACTGGTGAGGGCTGGGTATAAGGGCAGGAAGCTGGTTAAGCCTAATTCTTAACCTACTGGAATGAGCAGTGTTTGAAAGTTCATCTTCAATGCTATTGGCTTTGTGTCCTCATTCCTCCTGTTGGGAAAGACCTGGCATAGTCATCACAGGTGTGGGCCCTTTAACTGATTCTGAAGCTAGGTAACAGACCTGAAATACTAGGGGAGGGTCAGACTGCTTAAGTGGGCTGGTGTGACCTAAGAAAGCAGGGAGCTACATTTATCTTTCAAAGCAGAACCTGTAAGAGGCAAAAGACTGCAACACCTGAGAACAGAGAGACAGACACTGAACGCGTCATGAGAGGTATGCGATACATGACAGACGTGAAAAGCATGCTATCTATGGTCAAAGCACCCAAGAGGCAGGAGGGGGTGCAGATTCGCCTATAAAAACCCTGGCAAAGATGAGGCCCATGGGATCTCCTCCTCATCACTTAAGAAGACCTGCAAATGCCGCAGAAAGACTTTCTGAATACCTGCCTACAAGGAGACACTCTGCCCTCAGGATTATGTAAGATCTATGCAAGGTTTTCTGTTGTCTTTGTGGCTTATTATGTTGCATTTTAAGTTAGGCTAAGTTGTGTGCTGTCACTGTGTCTTACTGGCCTGTGTCTTAGCTTAGGTGGAATTTTTCTCCTGTTCTTTGTTTTATGCTTGTAATTGCAAATTGCTGTGCTCAATAAATGCTCTCTTCATAGAACGGACTATTCCTATTCAAGCATTTATGAATCCAGTGCCACTACCTAAAGTATAATATTAAGTCTGGTAACACTCCTTCTTAAGAGACAATAAAAAAGAAAAGGATAAGAAAGGGGAAGACAACATTTAAATTTAAAAAAAAAACAAATGAAAAAACAAAGCGTAAATTAAATGGCAGAGACTAAACAATGAAGCAGGAAGGAAAATGGAAGCCTAGTCTATATATGACAGACAGGGCACCCGATCTGTGACAGGCTAGGTTTCTGAGATGAGCTGTAGCTCAGGTACCCTACTCACAAAAAGAAGCAGCGTGGCCTAAAGGGACTTGGACGACCTCTGTTTTATTTCTGGCTCTGCCAAGAGCCTACCAAGATGATTTTACGTAAATTGTACCCCCACTTGTTTCCTCCCCTGACAATACAATATACTGCCCTCCTTTTTACAGCACTTTGAGATATACAGAGAAGAGCTAGACAGTTATTATCAAGATGTTCCCTAAACCTGGAACTCTACTTCACTGCCTCTTGTCTCAGTTAGGCATATACCAGTGAACTGAGAGGGCCTTTCAAAACTCAATCTGAAGCAAAGCAGAAAACCAGACTTCATCTGGTATAAATTGTCCATTGAAACCAGTAGAGCTGCATCAGTTGAGGGTCTGGTCTAGAAGAAAAATTCAGGAGATTAGGAAAATTGGCAGAATTGTCTTTGTAAGAGGATGTCTCGATGACGTTTTGCCTTCCTGCTCAATCACCACCAGTCTCCTCTTCTCTTTCCTGCCACACCTTGATGTTGTAATAATAAGAAAGGAGGGAAGTAAGATGTTACCAATAATCAACAATATTGCTCTAGGTCAGTGATACTCTTCACAGGGCCCCTCTGTCTCCCACATCCTGTCCCTTTCTGCACCTTGGTATTTCAGCTGGTAGCCAAATCCCAAGCGTTCCCTAGGTTTCAGCCCAGGCCTCGTCTGGCCCACAAGCCTCAAATAAACAGCCTTGCTTCCAATGGGGATGTAAAACCCCTTGCTTTACATTGACCCTGGGATTTTCCCACTTTAGGTAAGTTTGTGTCGCTCAACTGGAGAGGAATCTGCTTCACCCACCGACTCCTGATTTTCTGGTCTGGTTGGTTGTGATCACCAGGACTGCTAAAGGTCAACTTCAGTACCTAAGGTGTGGTCCTTGGGTTGCCTCCATTATTTCTTTCCTTTGCCCTAGGGTTTTTCCTACCCCTCAATGCAAGTCCATCTTAATTCCTGGCCCTGCGCATCATCACTTTCAGGTCGCACACAGGCCTGACTCTCTCTGTCTCCCGCTGGCTTTCTTTTCCGTGCCCTAGCAATCAATGGATCTTTATTACCTGTGGCCCAGGCTGGCTCTGATTCCCAGGGTCAGGGATCTCCAGGCACTCCCTTCAATTTGCCGGTCTCTTATGTTCCAGGGCTCCAACCAAGCCCTGATCCCAGGTTTTGTGCTGGCTCTGGTTCCAGTGTCATGTTTCCATGTAGCTTGCATTGATTGTGCTGCTTCCCGTGTGTTCCCCTTACCAGGCAATTTCCAATCTGCCGATCATCTCCTTTAACTTCCAGAAGAATACTCAGGGCTAATGGAAGGCAACTCCCATCAGCTGGGTGGGACTTGCTCCAGCAGGCCTCTTCCGTTTCCACTAGACTCATAGGGATTTGTCACTGTGGCCCACTCATGCACATCACAGTGCCCCTCACTCCCTGTAAGACCCTGGGAAGGCTCTGGTCCAGCAGGCTTGCCCAGACCATAACAGGATCGGGGGCTGGTGCACTGTTACAGTCTTCTTCATCATTTGCCATTTCCATTCCCTTCTACATTTCCCAGTCCCATACAAAGGACACAGTGACACCGGGTAACCTGTTTGGACATGGTTTTGAGTCCTGTTTTACAGTCTTGCCAGGTTTACGTAAGCCTTCAGACTTGATACTTCCAAACCTCTTGAGATTTGCGTATCATTTGTTTTGAGTCTGCTGCCAATTACTAGCCTTATTAAAAGGGCTTAATGGACATACAGATTCAAACACTTTAAAGCCAGAAGACACCATTATGATCCTCTAGTCCAGCCATCTGGATAACAGAGGCCATAAAGCCTCCCCTTGTAATTTCTCTATATCAAGTCCTTAATTTCTGGTTGAGTTAGTAAAGACAACTTTAGTTATCTAAAGACATCAAATGATTGAGAATCACACTTTAGTAAATTGCTGAAGTGGTTTATTTTACTTACTGTTAAAAAAATAATGTTTCTTATTTCTATCTTGGACTTGTCTAGCTCCAAACTAGAACCTACTGACCTGTTATGCTTTTGTTTGCAGAATTAAGAACCCTCCACTAATGGGTTACATTCTGGATGATGCCAACCAAACTCCTCAAGAGATTTCATTCTTACCTTCTTCACCTTATCAAAAATAATTCCATGCCCTGTTCTACATCTCATCTGCCTGTTGTTCAAATGCATTACACTTCCCCACCACAGCCTTTTCTGCTTTTTGACAGTGTTGTGACTGTGTGTGTCTTGTGAACCTCAAGAGTCAATCCTGTCATCCTTGTGCATTCAGTCCCAGTCAACTAAATATGACCATCAATGTGAACAAGGGCTACAGGATTTTGCCCTTGGTTTACAAGCACATAAGAACAGTAAATATGTTGTGCTCTATGAGTCAGACTTCAGATCTGCTCTCTCTACATCAGTAAAATTTCCACTGAGGTCAGTTGGCTATACTGAAGAATGCCTTTGGGTCAAATTCTACCCTGGTGCACTCTAGTAAGTTATAATAAATATACTGGAGTTATTCCAGTTTTTCTCAAGGTAACTGAAAATGAATTCATGGCCAGGGGAGGATCCGGTCGGGTAGTGGGGTGGGGGTGCACTGGTGCAGTTGCACCTTCCCCCCCTCTCCTGCTTTGATTCCTGCTCCACCTAAAGTTCAAGACTAACTGTCTGGGAGGGACATCTGCATTTCTATTCAGGCAGCAGTGAGGGAGTCAACTGACATCATGGTTCATTATAATCTGCCTGATTCCTTCTAAACCAGGGGTGGGCAATTATTTTGGGCAGAGGTCTGCTTACTGAGTTTCAGAAAGCCATTAAGGGCTGCATGACAGGCAGCTCAGGGCAGATTAATATTAATTTTCTACATTTTTTAGGGGCCCCACGAACTGGATAGTATGACCTGGCAGGCCACATCCAGCCTCCGGGCTGCATTTTGCCCACCCCTGTTCTAAACTCGTCATTCCACAGGTGTCAATGACACTCGCTCCCTTTTTAATGGTCTTGATGTTCCACTAATTAAGCTTTCTTTTCTTGTGCAATTCTTACGTCTGTTAGCTGTTCCTGGTAATCTAACTCCTATTTTTACATCTCTGCAAATTGTTTTTAACCCTAGCTAAAAGCAATAACTCAGGTGTGGAAATGTTAACTCAGGTGTGGAAAGAACCTTTAGTGAGTCACTGAAGACACTGCCAATATACTCAAGACAGCTAGATTGTTTTATGAATGTAAAACAGAGATATACATTTTATTTGAATGACTACAGGACTTATGAAACAACATCTTTTTTGATTATTTTTTGCCTAGCTGGTTACATTTTTTATACACAATGTATGATACAGCAAATTCATGCAAATTCCAATGAAGTTATATTTGTTTTTTGCTTTGATCTTAAACTGATTAATACAGCCCTAGGTCCCTAGCATAAGAGTAAATTCTCTAGCTTCTTTTTCACTGGAGAAAAACATGTTGTGTTATATATGATGATGATGTATCACATCATCTGCAACCCCCTTTTCAAAATCCTGGATCTGACCACGTTCACAGCATACCAGAAAGTGCTGAACCTGTGTATCTCCTCCTCCTACTAATGCAGCCAGTGACCAAAGTCACAACATCGTTTAGTCCAGCACTTATTTGAGTGAATTGAGCTGATTCTGATTCCATTCATTCTTTTACCATGCTGTTGATCTCACTCAATTTACTCCTGATTTACACAGGTGTGAAAGGAAAGTCAAACCTTGTGGGTTCAAAGCAATTTGGTCTGTTTACCATAGTGCTGAATTTGTTCCGGTATCGCTGCAACCTCTCTTAGCAGTAGGGAGTGCTTTCATCTCTCATGCACTGTTCTTGATTGTTAACTGAGTACTGAAAACTATCTTATATTTTTTTGCTGATGCCATCTTCTTTTTAGCAGACTTTGCAATGTCCTACTGGATAAAATTTACTTTGGCTAATATTAATCAGGCAGTTTGATGTCCTAACATTTACTTTTCTCTTTCATTGTTTGCAATACCTTCTTGGAACTGGGACAGATAGCAGTCTTGCCCTGACGCAAATTTTTGTTGCGGCCTATTATATAAATGAGACCCCAGCTAGTTACTTTCAGCTAACCGTTAGAACGTTCTTCCTAGATTGAGTGTACTGAAAGAGATCAGCTTTCCTCTAACAGCCATGAAGGCATTCGTAGCTTTAATACTGCTTGTTCAGATTGCAGTCTACCAAACTAAGCCACATGGGCCTAAACCAATTGGGCCATCACCTCCCTTAGGTATGAGGGACTGTGATAGCCCAGAAGGGGAGGAAGCAGCTGCAGTAGCTGTGGACTACATCAACGCCCACCATGCTCATGGATACAAGTATGCTTTAAACAGAATTGAGAAACTGCGTGTCTTGCCCACGGTAAGTGATACAGACAATAGAAAAGTAAGGCTGCTTTAGAAGGTGTGCTAGAACAGAAAATGCTCAGAAATGACTGATGTAGGGCCAGGTGTAGGACCAATGTAGGGCCAGGTGGTGTAGATTAGCACGTCCCCATTGACTACATCAGTGTTACATGGATTTACATGACCTGAAAGTTTGGCCCAAAGTCTTGAGGATGGAATGTGTCTCTTCAAAAAAAAAAAGAGAGAGAGATTTTAAGTAGGATTAGTATGATAGTTGTGATGGGCTCAATGACCTCTTTATTGGGGCAGATTAGCATTGACACAAGAAGCTCATTTATATGCCTAGAAGCTAATATGGGGACTCAAATTGTGAGGATAAACCTTGCAAAGTAGATAAGTCTTATTTGGCTAAATTTATTCCTTGCAGAGCTCTATGATATTAATGGCGTTACACCTGCCCCTGATGTTGGCCCAGTATTTCATTGAGCAGTTAGTTTAACTAAGAATTAGCAGTTGTTCTGTATAACCACCTCTACACCATGACCCTTTTACACAACGCTGCAGACTAGAAAGGCCTCAAAGTGGGCATAAATGCGACATATACCCATATATAACTGAGAAAGGAAGGCAGGTAAGCCACTAGAATAAATTAGCCATAATCCAACTGAAGCCGCTGGCATTTTCAGCAGATTCAAACAGATTTTAATGAGATCAGAATGAGATCTACAGTGAAGTGATCTTGTTTTGCTCTTGTTAGGGCTGAACCAGCACAGGGGTAGTTACTGCAGAGCATCCAAGGCTGGGGAGGAGAGAATAAGGCCAGTGCAAGGACTCAGCTGTTACCACTGCTGCTGCTTCTCCCCACTGCTTGGCTGTGGTGCAGAATGGGAAAGCTCCCCACTGCCCAGCCTCCTGGCCACCCAGCTGCCCAGTCAGAGCAGTGTGGCACGGTGCAGGCAATGCCCTGACACTGAATACCACTGAAGCCTCAATCCCATGGGGTGGATCCAATGGCTCTGTGGGCCACAGGTTACTGACCCCTGTTCTAGCTGAAAGGTCTAACCAGAAAGGGGCCTGCAAGAGTAATGGGCCTGATGCTCACCTGGTGCAATTCAGTAAAGTTTCACTGAGGTCAGCGGGATAAGGCCAGTTCAGACCAGCAAGGAATCTGGGGTTTTCCCCTCAACCAGAGCACCAGGCTTGTATCGGAAGGCATTTTGTCTGGTACCTTCATATCAAGCCATGGATTTACTCTCTATAGTTTTCCATATGCCAAACTACACGCCTGTCTTAAAGTATTACTGGGAAGCACAAACTCAGAAAAACTGGCTTTGGGTTCTAGTCTTTTTCTTTAGAGCCCTGAATTAAGAGCAGGCACTCCAAACCAGTTCTTAGGTGGCAAAAATCAGTGTAATTTCACTCATGACTCTGGAACGGAGTCATTTTACATCAACTAATGATGTGAACTTTTTGTTCCTATAGACCAAGGATGTCCAACTGGCAGCTCATGAACTGCATGTGGCTCTGTACAGGTTAAGTTGCAGCCCTTGGCCTCCTATCTGGCCAGTGCTTCTCCTATTGCTCCAGCTGTAGCACCAGTTGGAGTCTGCATCCTTCCTCTGGTTTTCGCTGTTTGCCCCCACCCCAGGGAGCACAGCAGTGCTGTATGGCAATGCTGGGGGTGACCCTGTGGGCATGCAGTGCAGTGCAGTGCAGGGGCTGTACAGTGGCCGGGCAGAGGGGCACAGGGCATGGTGCAGCTGAGGGTCCAAGTGGCATTCAGCCCCTGGCCACCTAGAAGTTGGACAGTTCTGGTACAGAGTAATCATAATAACTAGCTCCTGACTGCTTTTCTCCCAGGGCAAAGCCAACCAGAATCTCATCCTGCAGAGGAAAGCTGATGATGTTTGGGGAATTCATTAGCAAAATCCTTGTCTTTCCCTTCCAGGGGCCTAGTAGTGAGAGAGTGATACTCGAGCTCGACTTACTGGAAACCAAGTGTCACGTTTTGAACCCTCTGCCTCTTGAAAACTGTACTGTACGGGAACTGACTGGTCATGTGAGTACCTGAAATCAGTCCAAGTTTTGTAGTTACATATGATTGTGCAGTTCATGATGTGAGTTTATAGTGGGCAGAGAGTAGCTTTCGCCTGCTACTCCGGCCTACCAGTTTTCTCCTTTTCTAGGGCAAAAGCCTCCTTTGAGACCAGCCTCATAAAGCTCAAAGCTGATACTCAGCTCTTCTTATTTGCATAGATAATAATAATTTACATCTTTTCCTTCCTCTCATGGCTTTCTTCCAAGGAGGCGGATGAACTCAGCAAATGTTGAGTTTGACCTCTCTGTGAAAGAGGAATATTAGCCGCTTTTCACAGAGCAGGAGACTGAGAGAAATAACGCCCGAGGTCCACAGAAGGACTGAAGGGCCTACCCAGGAGTTCAGGAGGCCAAAAGTGTGAGAAGTTGCATCAGTGCAAAACTTGGCTTCCCTGAGTTGGATTTGGGACTTTTAGTAGTGGGGCTATAGCACTGGCTGGCTACTGAAAACAGAATTGAGGCTAATGTCCTCAATATAAGTCTTAATTAGAATTTAAGTGGCCATCTGCACATTTTATACACATTAGACCAAGACCTGAAAATCCTTTGAAACCAAAACAAGGTGGGGGTGGATTCTGAGCAGAAAACAGAGCCAGATTTTCAATTTTCAACCAAGGGTTTCCAGAAACTGGGCCAAACTGGTCACAGCTGGATCTGATCTGGGATTCACTCTCCCAATTGCTGTAAAGAGACATCACCTTTAGGCCACCATAAACATTTTTATGGTAGCGCAAAGTAAAAGCAAACAGATGCTCATGCCCTTTGTCATGCTGCAAATGCCTAAATATGTGGCCACAACAAAAGATAATATTAATTTGTGTAGTTATATTGCAGCAGATATCTGTTTTATGGTGGAAAATATGGGCAGCTTTGGACTGCTCATGCTCTCCAGCTGGCCCAGGCTGGCGTTCCTGCTAGGAATTCCCTGGGCATGCAGAATCAGGCCCTTGAAGCCCTGGAAGTGCCTGCCTAGGTTTCCCTGTTACACAGGAACTCCCCAAATCAAAATCCCTGGGCACATCTCTGCAAGTGGGACACCCCAGGTTTCCCTGCTTGCAGAGGTGTGCCAAGAGATTCCAACTTTGGACATGCCTCTGCGAGCAGGGAGACCCTGGAGTTCCCCACTTGGAAAGTCGCACCCAGGGATCCCCCAGGGTTCTCCCATTTGCAGAAATGTGCTCCAGGTGTTGTGCCACAGAATCAAGCCCCTGCCTGCCATTCCCAAAAGTGGCAGGGGCTGCACCCCATGAGACAAGAGGCAATGTCCATCTCACTCAGTGAACCAGATCAGCTGTGCAAGGACAGATCCCAAATCCAGCCCAGCCCAGCTGATCTGCTTCATTTAGTGATGTCTGTTTATAACCCGTGGTCACCAGGGTTTTGGTCCAGTGTTCCAGGTCAGGGCTCTCTCCACCTGTTCCCCTTGTCCACTGACCATACCGTTGACTGTCAGTATCTCCGCTCCTCTTGGATCTCATATACCATGAAGCCAGGCTTTCTCCCATTGACCAAGATTGGCTTCATGGGAGTGTTGAAGGTGATTCTACTGAAGCTCTTGATTACAAATACGTGTACTGAAATCACTTGCTTTATGTTTTATCAGAGATGGGCTTCAACTAAAGTCCTTCAGCTGGACATCCTTGAGCTCCTGACTCCTTTGAGATGCAGGCTGGGATCACAGCTTTGCAGCCCAGGTCTGCCTCTTAGGGCTTGTCTACACAACAGTAGCAGCAGGTTGTCTCCATGAGAGGCTTGCCCACCCATGTCCCTGACATGCTTCAAACCTGAAGTACTCCAGTGAAGCTACTCCTCCATGCTTGGGATGACCCTGGGTCAACTCCACTAGTGAACTTCTGGGATTGGAGCGTGCCCAAAGGTATGGGGTGGTATAACAGGGCATGCAGGAGCCTCTCAGTGCCAGGACCCACCATGGCTGCTGTGTAAGCAAGACTTTATATTGAGAAAGGTTTGTCTGGCTCTTCTGTAGCCAGACTGGACTTGCTGCAAGGACACTGCTGAAGCCTGTTCTTCTGAAGTCAGAAAGAGCTGTCCTCTTCCAATACTGGTTTCTTCTCATGAAACTCCTTCTGACAGGATGATGTTACCCTTTGCTTTTGTACCTCTAGGCTGTTGAAGGAGACTGTGATGTTAAATTGCTCAGGAAGGATGGAAAGCTCTCTGTATTAGCTGCAAGCTGTCACTCATCTCCAGGTAAAGGCCTTCCTCTGGGGTAGGGTGTGAATTTAGGGCAATCATGGGTGAAGAAGCAGCAGGGAAGTGCAGAGAGAAAATAAATTGCTTCTTTCCCCCACTGCTTGGGTTACCGAGCAGTTGGACTTCTTTCTCAGCCAGTGGGGCACAACCCAAGAGGTAACCCCCATCGTTACCATGTCACAACCCACCAGCTCAGTAGCTCTGTCTTACGAAATCATGAGAAGAGAGAGGTAGTTAGCTGTGTTTGTCTGAAGTCAGGAAGAAGGCAGAGTAAAGTTGCATCCTATAGACTAACAAAAACTTTATCATACATAAGTATAGGAAATCATGGCCAATTTCTGCCCTCACTTAGACCTGTCCATAATTACATGTGCCTAAGTTTATTGACCTCAGTGAGTCAATGAACTTAGGTGGGTATAATTATGGACAGACATTAGTACTTTTCTTCCCATCTATTTGTTCCTCCTACTAGGTAGATTTCACAAGCTGGATGACGGAAGGAGTCACACACCCACATGCAGCCAAACAATTCTAGTAACTTGGAAACTCCTTTAACTTCTCTCATATGCTTTCACAAGAAGAGGCTGCATGCTGAAGTCCATATCTATTTTTCTTAAGACAAACTCTCACTGATGTCGCAGAGCTTGCTGGTTAGCAAGAACCTTAACAATTGAGATACTGAAGCCTAGAGCACTTTTGTGTAAAGCAAGATTCCAAGAATTAGCAGGAAAAAGTCAAATGTCCCCCTTTCCCCATGCTGCCATCTGAGAAGTGAAATGCAGCAATTTTTTTGCACTGTACAGCAACACCAATTATGCAACAATTTGGAACTGGGCATGTAAAATAGCGGCCTGTGCCCTTGAACAGATCTATAATGCTTTCAGAAATAACCTGTAATCTGATGAAAATATCATCTGCCCTGTCTCTTCTCTAGACTCAGCTGAAGACATCATTAAAATCTGCCCTGACTGTCCATTACTGATTCCATTAAATGATACTCGGGTGGTGAAGACAGTTGAACTCCTCCTTGACCAGTATCACAGCACAAATGATGTCTACTTTACGCTCATTGAGATTGCACGAGCTCAGATGCAGGTATAGTAAAAGCCATTGCAGAAGCACATAGGGAAGGCATGTATCTCATTTAAACCATGCAAGGGATTGTAGCCCTTTGTCAGACTGTACTGATTCCAGTATTGAAGGCACTGCTTAAAGCACTGTTAAGTGTGCCTGCTAATTCACATGGAGAAAGGCTGCTTCCCCTCAGTATTGCTTTACATGTTTGCTTGGAGCAAAAGTCAGTCAACTTTTATTAATGGCAGACCCCCACTTCTGACCTGGCTGTCACAGTGGGCTGCCAATCCCCTGCTGCTGCCCTAGCCATCCCTATTCTGGGCTACATATTTGCCTCCGTAACGCAGCCTCCACTTACCAACTGCTGCCAAAAACCATGGCCAGTGACAGTAGAGAGTGTGGACTGGGCAATGAGGAAAAGCAATACAGGGCAAGAGAGCAAGGAGGCTGCGGAGCAGGGAGGGCTGGAGCAGGTGGCTTGGGAACACAGAATATAGCCCCTTCAAGCTGGCACCCAGCACTGGTGCACATGCCACTGCATGTCACCAATCCCCCACCCCACCCCCTACCATGGGCCAGATCAGACCATCGTGGGCTGGATCCAGACTCTTTGTGGGTCAGGTCCAGCTCAAGGGCTTGAGGTTGCCAACCCCTGGCTTAGAGTGCTTTGCCTCTAGTAGCAGCTTTGAAATTCACAGGGCACAATCTGTTTCGGGACTGCTAATAACATGGCATTTACAGAAATTAAAAGAAGCTAGGAGGATTAATCACCCACTCCATGTGTCCTACAATTTTCTGATTGCCAGAAGAGTCTGTTCTATGTGGCTTAGACTGTAGCTGGTGGAATTATGATCACTGCTGTATTTTAAAATGGAATTTTCCTTTGGTAGTAACTGGGCAATGTTCAGTGGCTTAGATTTTGCAAAGGGATCTGTGGCATCCTAACCCTGTGAATTTCCTCAGATGCCAGTGGTTTTGCAAAGCTGAAACTCCCACAGGCTTCTTAGAGAATTCAGCCCTTTACCTTGTCTCAGCAGTTCTGTAGTGTCAGGCTGGAAAGAGGATTAAACGAATATTCATGTTTTATCCAAAGGCCCCTAATGCCATCTTTGTCGAGTTTGCAATTTCTGCCACTAACTGCTCAAGCAAAGATGCCAGTGAACATGCGGAGGCCTGTCAGGCGCTATCTGGGGATCAAGCTGTAAGTATGCTGAAACGATCTTTCTGACCAATCCACTTCAGGTAGAGAGATGAACCACATTACACTGGACCATTATGGAGACAGGGTGCAAGGGTTGTTTCCTCTCAGTGATACAATTTCTAAGTCTCCCTTACCTCTTTTCCCCTTCTGTCATACAGGGGTTATATATTTTGATGAACCCTCTTAAAAAGTAAGGCCCAGGGAATTACAGAACATCTCTCTTAAACAAGGGCATAGGTTGTTAGCTGTGATTTGTATTGCAATAGCTCTTGGAAACTTCAGCCTCACTGTGGTGGATGCCATAGCAAGTCAGTGCCTATCCTGAAATACTTAAGAGTGTAGGTGTTGTTAATACACTTTGTGTTACTAACTGAATTCCCAAGACCCTTAGGTTCAGCTTAGCTCTTCACCTCTTGAATCTAAAGATACTCAGGCTGCGTATACACATTTAAATAATCTGGGAAATTTACCCAGAGCCACATATATAGACATTCAAATGCTAAGGCCCTAAAGAGTAAAGAGCTTGCAGTACTGATACTGTGAAGCTGGGGGGCAGGAGGTCCTGCACACATTTAAGCATGCTCTGTAGGCTCCCATATTCTCCTGGTGACAGATAGCAGCAGTGGATAGGGCAGCTCTTATTGGCTGGCCCAGACTGCCCATGGTCAGTCTGTTTCTCAGCAGTACAGTGTAGGGATTGAAAAAGGGACCTGTTCTGCTCCTTACTAGAGCAGCAGAGTCCAGCACGTGACATATTGTCATCCTAAGGGGGGAAGGGAAGAATGCCAGAGGACTATGTTTGCTTCTGAGAGATGATCCATAGTATGTACAGACACTCGCTCTCCCAGGAGAAATTGTTCTGGGAAATATTTAACCCTGGTTGTCCCCAGGTAATTTTTCTCCTGGAGTTGCATTTTTACTCTGGGAGAATAAAAGACTCCTGGTTTCTCTGGGAGAGCAGTGCCTCTCCTAGGAGAAACTGAATGTCTGTATAAGGTAAGTATCCCATATAGTTTTGCTGTATGTGTTAGCCTTTCACCTCTCTGCCCTCCCTCTACACTCATACACAGACACACATACCTAGACAGACATTTAAACACAGATGATTTTAATGGGAGCTGGCCTCAAAAACAAGAATTTTGCAGTTTAGATCAAACATGTATGGCATTTTGGAAGGTTGGTATCTTTTGGACTATACAGTCACATAGACATTGCATTGCAATAATCCTCCTCTTTGTATTTGTGGTTTCTTTAACTTCCCTCTAATTTTGACAGACATTTGGCTTCTGTGTTGGATCAGTCATGCACGTTCCCAACGAAAACATACAGGTGGAGTGTGAAGTCTATGCTCCTCAGGTATGAGCACCCTAAATATTTCCTTTGTTGCTAATACTTTCTTATTGTGTCTTGACATTTCTTGCATTATTAAGAACTGTTTGGAGCACCTGCTCTGAACTTACCTATTTCCCAGATTGCACTAGCTACTTGATGCAACTCAAGAGGTTAAATTCAATTCATAGAACCTGATAAAGGTTGATCTTGTCTGTGTTAAGCTGTTTTTTTTCCAGAAATTGTGCCATGTTTACCCCGCACAGTTGGACATTGCTGCTTCTTGGTCTCCTCAACCAGAGTTGGACATGGTTATGGCTGATGGTGCAAACTATGGTCCAGGTTCTTTGCCTGAATGCATTCTGTTGGGTATCCACCACACTCTCTGAATTAATCAGGTCCAAACACCAGTCAGACTGTGTCCAGTTGTGTTCACTAGGGTTGAGGACTCGCTAGAAGTAAGCAAAAAGGGCCAGGAGATAGATCCAAAAGTGAACATCAATCTCAGGAGATGAGGTCAGTGGGGACCTTGTTGCTAGTAGCCTCTAGATCAGGGGTGTCCAACCTTTTTGAGTGTGGGGCCAGATCATGAATTTTTTATCACCCAGTGGGCCAGCGAGCCATATTCATATTTTATGACCCCACGGGCCATATGTTGGACAAGCCTGAAATAAGGCAAAGCTGGCATAAACCCGCACCTGTGCTCAGCTAGTGACAAACTACAGAAAATGATGTCCTGGACCAGCCATCCCAACAGCTGGGGCCCCTCTTCTGCCTACTACGACCACCATTTGAAGGCAACGCAACAAGATATTTGACAGCTTTGTTAAAATATGTGACCAAACCAATGTAACCGGTGCTCTCACGCAGGCCAAGGGGCCGCCTATGCCACTGCTTCCCCAGGCCTTGCCCACACCAGCAACACCGCTGCCCAAAGTCTTAGCAGTGCTGGGCAGGCGTGGGTGGGGCCCAGCCAATGCGTGAGATGGGGGACAGCGGAACTGCGGGAGCGAAGCCAGTTCCCAGCCTGGCAGGGTCTCAGGCCTGGTCTCCCCATGGCAGTTCCTGGCGGGGGAAGGCCTCAGGGGAACACAGGCCACTCTGCTCCTCCACGCCTCCCTGCGGTGAAGGCAAATGGCCCCTGGGAGGGCGCAGGCAGTTGCCGCTGCAGGAAGCGACAATCTCCCCTCCCCCCCGGGGCCACACCCGAGCAGCGCAGCCCCACGAGCCAGCGCTGCCCGAGGGGGGCTAGAGCGAGGTGGCTGCTGCACTGCAGCCCCTTGCTCGCCCACCCACATGGCCCTGCTCACCATGGTGCCTGGCTGCCCGTGCATGCAGCCCCGGTGGCCTCAGCACTGGGAGCCCGGAGTGTGGGGCCCAGCGGACACAGGCTGCCACTGCCTCGCTCTGCCCAGCGGGTCCTGGAAGGCAGGCGGGACGCCAGGGGCAAGGGCCCAAGCTGGAGACAAGTAAAAGCGGGTGCTGTCCTCAGCTCATCCCGTCAGGCGCAGCCAGGGCACCCCATGCCGCACAGCCCTTGGGGCGGCAGCGGGACCCGGCTCGCATGACGTGGGAGGTTATGCGAGCCCGGCCCTGTGGAAGTGAGCAGCTCCCCTCCCCTCCCCCACCTGCCTATCCTGAGCAAGGGACCTCGGGCCACAGAAAATGGCTTGGCGGGCCGCATGGCGGCCCACGGGCCGTATGTTGGACAAGCCTGCTCTAGATGAAATCAGACTCAGGGACTAATCTATATCAGCCATGTTTTTAAATTCCCATCACCACTATCACTAAAGCATATCCACTTGTGACAGTCATAGCAGGAGTGCTTGACTATACCAAGGCTCAGGCCTGCTGGTGTTTTGACCTAGGTGTGGTCAGAGCAGGATTAGATAGTGTTCTGGCTGTATTGCTTGCTTGGAGTCCAGTAGTCCCATCACTACTACCTCTGGAACAGCAGCAGTGTTAGCAACGATATCACTTTTGGGTCTGAGAATGTCACTGACTTCATAGGACACGTTCAGGGTTTCCATTGGTGCAACAATAGATGCATTTTGGCCCTAAAAATCTACTGGCTATTAGAGAATGTGTGTGTTTAAATGTGTAGCCAAACCTCCCTAAAGGTCACCAAAATTCCTGTTCCCTAGTTGAAACCACAGTATTTACTAAAAACGTCCAGCACTTGTATCTTATAAACTCCAAGTCACAGAACATGCACATCTGACTGATGTCTCTCTTTTCCAGCCTGACGTTGTCCATCCTGTCCTGGCTAAAGATACTGTAGGACTGCTTTCCGTTCCTGTACATGGCTTCAGCCACCACAACCTCAGGCATTCCCATAGCAGCCATTTCAATGACTCTTCAGAGTCCAACTCTGCAGAAGTTTCTGTTGCTTACACCTTATCGCCGAAGCTTGTGGTCAAAAGAACAGTTTCTGAGCCAGAACATCCAGGAGGCGTACTAGATCCTCTTCATCCTGGATGCCCTGGCAGGGTACGCCATTTCCGTATATAGTTACAGGCACAGCTAGCCAGATGATTAAAGGGTTAGCTGGTGGCACCAACAACATGCAGAGTACACAGCCAAATATAAGTATCTGAGGCTACTCAGATCCTTTATCTCCAATTGGTTTCATTCCCGATAAACCACAGCAGGGATCAATAGCATGCAATAACCTGCTCCAAGGTCTAGGTGATTATAGATGGCAGTAGTTGTGCTCTCTGCCTCCACAGATGACCTTGTTAAAACAATAGGAAATGTTATTGCCTTGATGCTGTTGGAGTATCTGCAGGCTTGTGGAGAGAAAACCAACCCAAAGTGCTTTATAAATAAAGAGATGCCTCTTTGCCATCCATCTGTGTTTAGTGTCTGCTTTCAACTGTAAAACCTGGATGGATCACGCTTGCCTTTTCTACATGTCCAGTGACATGGTATTATCATATGCTAGGCCTGATTTTCCGAGGTTTCATAGTTTCATAGTTGGTAGGGTCGGAAGGCACTTGAGCAGATCATCAAGTCCGACCCCCTGCCATGGCAGGAAAGAATGTTGGGGTCAAACAACCCTGGCTAGGTGGTCATCTAGC